TAGAGAGAGAGAGAGAGAGAGAGAGACTGTATTGTTAGAGAGAGGAGGTACCATGGGATAGAAAGGCGTCCCTGGGGTAGGGCCGCTGGTCCCCTGCAAAATCATTATCCAAATGCAGAACATAAGCACTTCTTCCAAAACAAAAAGACAAAAAAATTGAAGAATGAAGAGATAGACGGTCCTATAGGTATGTGGGGCGGGAGAGAGAGAGATTACGGTGAGATTGTGGGGGTGCCAATAGGGTGGGGCTTCGGCTGGTGGTGGTGGTGCATGTGGAGGCCAAGGCGGGGGAGGGGGAGGAGGAGGAGGAGAGAGCGAAGGAACAAGGTGCTTGGACCAAACATGTGATGGATCGACGGTCGGATGTCCCCACACGTGCAAAGGCCTGAGATGAGGAGGTGGGAATCCGATGGAATGAATTGGCCAAGCATGGGGGTTATGGTTAGAGAGAGGAGAGAGGAAGTCTCTCTTGATGTTGTGATTGTTAACTCCTCCCCAATACATTTGTCTCCTTTGGCTCCAACTTGCTGCCTCAGCTTCCCTTGCCAGTAGATGCTTTCTGTGTGACCGATATTTCTACACCAAAACAACATCGCAAATCAAATCATCTCTCTCTCTCTCTCTTTACCACCATTGTTCTCACAGCAAATTTAGGAAGATGAAACGTAGAAAAAACATGATGCAGAAAGAAACATCTGCTCTTCGTTTGAAGCTTCCTATGCGACCCCACCTCTCTCTCTCTCAGAGGAACACACGCACACACAATAAATACCTGAAATGGATGGTTCCTCTCAGATTGACACTTGTTACATAAATATTAACAAGGACAACATTTAAACCGTTAAATGTTAAAAAACCCACTTCTCAAACAGCAATGTTACAGTACAAAACCAATTCATCTCAGCCTCTCTCATTGCCTAATGTCACATCATTTCTCTCTCTCTCTCTCTCTCTCGCTCTCTCTTCGCCTAATTTGAACACCGTTGTTCCCACAATGCCTAGAAAAGTGAGACCATCTCTCTCTTTCTCCGATGCAAAAGTAGAATGAAACGGATTCATCAAGGCTCCTTGCCTAGTGTGACACTACTACTCCACAATGCCTAAAAAAGTGAGACCAAAAAATTCCCCAATTCAGGTAAATAAAGCAAACCATCTCTCTTTTTAGTCTCTCTCCAGTGCAGCAGTGGAGTAGAGAGAGAAAGGATTCGTCAAGAAATTACTAAGGAACGCACCATCAAATGGAATTGAGGTAGGACTGGTGTAAGAGGAGGGATTAGGGAAAGACCTGAAGGTGACTGGCGATGTTGTGGCGAGTGAGACAGTCAATGCCCATCAGTTCCAATATTCGCGAGGGCACCGCCTTATCCACACCCAGCTGCTCCACCGCCTGAACGAACCGCCTGTGGAGCTCAGGCGTCCAATCCACCTTAACAATTACACAAACTTATTTAGAGAGAGACAAGATTATGGTTTTCTTTTTAGAGAGAGAAAATATTTAGAATGAGAATACCTTCACCTTTCTCTTCCCTTGAGCTCCTCTTTTAGATTTTTGTGATTTATCTACCTCCGAGGACGATGACGAAGACCGGCTCTTTTTCCCTGTTTTTTGAGATGATGAATCCTCTGATGAGTTTTGTGGTTGCGATGGTGATGGTGGAGGGGGAATTGGGTGCTCCCCTTTTTGGAGAGAGAAAGTTGTGTGCTTTTCCCTTTGGAGAGGAGAACTTGGGCTGTCTTCTCTTTTGAGAGAGAAAGTTGGGTTCTGTCGTTCTTGAAGAGAGATAGATGGGTGGTTTTCTTCTTCTTGGAAAGAGAAAGATGGTTGGTTTTCATCTTCCTCTTCTTGTTTTTGGAGGGAGAGAAACTGGTGATCGTCGGATGAGAGATCCGCAAGCATCTCCAGATCCAATTCAAGCTCCGGTAATATATCTGTATCATCAATGTCGAAGAATAGATCGTCAAACACCAAGCCATTCTCCAAAACCAAAAAACTCGAATCAACTTCTCTCTCTTCATCTCCATCACTGCACCTTTCCTCTTCTCTCTTGTCATAGGGACTCGCCAGAGATCTTACTGCCAGCATCACAAGCCCCTCTCTCTCTCTCTCTCTCTCTCTTCTCCTCTTCTCTCTCTCTCACTTTGCTCTCTCACTTACTCGTGTCTTCCACGCTCTCTGCGCGCAGCGGCACCTAAAACCTCAAAACCCATCTCCGTCCTCTCTCTTTCTCAACATCTGAGAGGAAAAAATAGCATCTCAAACCAATAATGCTCTCTCTCTCTAGAGGTTTGCCTTCGACTCTCTCTCTCTCTCTCTCTCTCTCTAGAGGTTTATCTTCGTCTTTTGGGTTAAGATTCATCCATGGCTCTTAATTACTTAACCCTCCGTCTATGAGTGTTATTGGACACCTAGCTAGTGTCCGTTTGTAGTGAGAGAGAGCGATGGATGTGAGCCTCAACTTCTTTGATTTTGTGAGGGTGGAAATGCTTCATATTCAAGGTATTTTGTGGCCCGCGTTGAACCTCAAAGAGGGAAGTGGCGGCATCTGCCAGTCGTCTCAAAGCATCAAAAAAAAAAAAGAAAAAGAAATGGAGCACACGACTCGTGAGCATCATTTACAGTAGTCAGGGGAGAGAGAGAAAATGAGAGGTGAACATCTCCCAAGATTGTCAGAGACAGTGAGAGACAAATAAAAAGTTGTTTTGTTAAGCCTCACCTCAAATTATAGCTAGGCCTTTGAACATTGTCGTTGCGAAAAACTCTGAGGATTTTAAGTTTTAAAAAATAGTATATATTATATCTAGACCGTCTATTTTTTAAAGGGAAAAAGTTTATATGAGGCGTCACGAGTAAAATGCACTTAAAAACTCCACTAGACAAAGTTGTTTTTATATTGAAAAACCCTCAAATCGTCTCAATTTCTATAGACATGAAAAAAAAATATTTCTATTCGTAAAAATAGTTTATCTTCTAATGTATTATCTTGACCGTCTATTTTCAAGATTTTCAAGTGTTCGTCAATCTGTTGAATCTTCACTATTTTTTTATCTTTAAATTTCATAATTAGAAGCAACAATAGATTTCCAAATCATCACAAGGTTTTACGAAATCGAAACTGCATTTTTCAGCATAGCTTTGAGGTACACCTTGCTCCAATTATAGAAGTTTGACACCTTATGCAAACCTTGTTCATTTTCAAGTGTCTACAAATCTACATCTTTATCATGTTTTGATATAGAAATTTCATGATTAATGGTAGACTTTTCTCATGCCCATGATACTTTCTAAATGAAGTTTCGAAATGAAGTTTCACTCTTTTTTTTTTATATATATAAAGCTTTGGCCTTATAAAAACAACATCCAAATGTGGCGAGAGGAGAATGAGTACCGAAAAAATCAGGTACAAACCTGTCTAAGAGGATTTTAACTTTTGTCTGATGTAAGAAAGTACGGACGAAATAAAGGGGCTGGGGCCGTAGTGGTAACAGCCCCGTATCTTAGTCACCGTCGAGTTTTAATTTTTATTTCCATTTCATTAATATTTTTAAAATAAAATAAAAAACCTTTTAAAATATTTTAAAAAAATGGGTAAGACATGTCTTCCTCACTAAAGTACCTTAAAAAAATAAAAATGCTTATCTAGAGCCGGGGACCTAAACAATCAAATTAGCACCTACATCAAAAATTTCACTCAGGGAGTTTGTTTCGATGGCCTACTATCTTCAAATTGATCATCTTGACATCAATATGTATGAACATGAGAAAAAAAAAAATGAATTTCAAGTTTTAGAAATAGTGCATCTTGTAATACGTTTTTGGACCGTCAATTTTCAAGTTTTCATGGATCAGCTCAATCTACATTATTTTTGAAGCTTTGAATTTGATAATTAAAGATGAAAATATATTTTAAGGCTATCATAAAGATTTGAAGTATTAAAACTACATTTTTCCATACTATTTGAAGGTGTGTTTTACTTTGACTATTTAGAACCTTGGCTCTATACAAATCTCACCCCAAAAAAATTATAAAACTACTAGTGGAGAGAGAGAGATTGGGGGAAATTGACCGTATCATCCTTAATTATTGCGTCAACATAGAGCGAGCTGGGGGTTATCATGCATGATAATATTAGTTATTTGCTTACACAGAGAGATAGAGGGAAATGGGGTTATTAACCATAATAACATTAATTATTGCCTGGAGAGAGAGAGAGGGAGGGATAAATTGACGATATAATCCTTAGTTACTGCGCCGTGGAGTTTGTTTACCGTACTAACAAGCTCTCGCTTATAGGACTGAGATGATTTACCATGAAAAGTAGGGTTGATTATTCTCAAATCAGTATTTTAATTTGCATAAACTCACATAAATTCTAATATTTTATTACTTAAATGTTTTTTAAAAAATAATAACTAATCTCCCCTAAACTCTTCATTAATAAGTAAGTAACTCAAAACCTTAAAAGACTATTATAAAATCCTAGTCATTCATTCCATTTAATCCTAGCTATCCATGGTTAAGTGACTAGCCCTACCCCTTTCAAAACAAAAAATAGGTAAAATGAAAAAGACAAAAACGTAATATGTAACTTACCACATCTCATAGTAGCATAATACAAAAAATAAACCCTAAAATCCCCAAATATATTCATCAATCCCCTTAATTAAGATCCACAAAAAAACCATCTTGCGCATGATTTTATTAAACCATATTGTACTTAGTTATTATTTTTGTAAATGAGAAATTTACGTACATGCATAAAATAAATAAGTAAAATGCAAAATAAATCAATTTTGGCATAAAATTGTGAAAAAGGTCGCATATTGTAGTTTTTTTTAATTTTTCCTATAGTGCCCCAGGGTTCGAGGATGGTATTCCCAGACTAGTTTTATTTTATATTTTTTAGGTTTTTTTTTTAGATTTTTTGAGCCATGTCCTATGTTTTGTAGACAGTTGATGGCCGATCTGAGGTTCCCATCTTCAGACCACCCAGATTGTGGTATTACAACACATTACAAGCGATCCGAGGTCCACATCCTCGGACTCCCATATTGTCGTGCTACACCACATTACAGGCAGTCCAAGGTCTCCATCCTCATACTGCATCTAATGAAGTCGAACACCACAGTGTGGGCGGCCTGAGGATGGAGACCTCAAACCGCTAAGTGGAAGGAAGAAATCAGAGATTTTCATCATCGGATGTGTAACACCACAATCTAAGAGGTTCGATGATGGGGTACTTGGACCGGTTGTCCACTGTCCTAAAACATTGGACACGGCCCAGAGAATAAGAAAAAAAAAACTAAATAAAAAAATTGTAAAACCAATTCGAGGATACCACTTTCGGACCGTGGGCATTATGGAAAAAAAAATAAAAAAAAACCTATAGTAAACGACCTTTCTGGTAATTTTTAGCCGAAGCGACCCTTATTTATTATATCTATACGTAAAATTACCCTTTATAAATTAGTAACATGTGTTGATTCTAAAAAAATATATATATATATATAAAACAAAACAATTTATTTTTAATACAAAGCGGTAACAACAAAAAATTATGACACTTTTAAGTCAAAAAAAATAATGACTTGATCGTACACTCTCGGTCTATTAGGCATATTTGGTACGGGAAGTGATTTTTTCCCGTCCTTTTTCTCTCTAAAAGGTCGAAATGATTGCAGTAAAAGGGTTTTTAAAAACTCAAAAACAAAGGGGGTCGATGCACTCACGTCGTCCACTCGTCGCAAAGGTCCCCACTTTCACAGCACCAAAACAATACAAAACTCCAATAATTCATACAACAAAACAATTCAAGATTTGCCCGTACTCCCTGCTCCATTTGCCCCCCGTCTTTTACAACTCCCTCCTCCCAACCTCCCTTTCTTCCCTATTATTACTACTGTTGTATCATATCATTCGCACTTTGTATCAAACAATTAACTAAACACAGTTATACCTCTTCCTGCCCACCTAATAAAGCTTCCAATCTGTTCTTTTCTCTTTCACTTTTCTTTCGTAAATTTATGTCCTTATCATGATGCGCATATGTCCATATTTATGCAAATATTTCTTGCAACCTCACCTTTTTGCATCTTCTAAAAAATGTACAAAGCTGATTTTAAGTTCTTTATTATATCTTTTATTTCTTTCAAAATAATAATACCTTATTGACTACGGTGGCAAAGGGCCTTAACCCACCCTTGGCCCTGCCCTAGCCCTTGTCCCCATAGGGTTGGCCCAAGCCTAGTATGGCCAGGCCAAGCCCGGCAAAAAACAAATTAAGAAAAAAAAGGGAGAGAACAAGAAAAAAACATGGTCAAACCGCCCTGACACTGGCCCAAGCCCTACTTTTTAAGGGCTAAGCTACCCAACCCATTGCCAACCCTAGTTACATAAAGAAATCAGATTTATTTATTTAAATTTTTAAATAATATGTAATTTTAATTACAGAGTTTTATTTTTAAATGCAATTTAGACCGAATTTATTTTTGCATTACAAGTTTTCTATATTTTTGTATCCACTCTATGCTCCTTTATTTATGCTTTTCTTTCTAATTATAATACAGCAAGATAAAGCTAGTTTCAATTTTGTATATTTATCTTGAATTTTTAATGCTTTTAAATTTCAATCATGACTCATTGTTGTTTTTTTTAATAGCTTATAAGTATAAGGTTGAATAAATTTTTACCACGAAATTTCATACTTTAAAATTAATTTATTGCTGCTTTTCAAATTTCTTGCAAATAACACTCAATTTTAAGTAGTTTTATTTTTGGAAAAATATCTCTTTGTTCCCTATTTTTAACTTCTATATCTCATGAGACTCAAGAATTGAAAATATTACTTGTAAGCAAAACGGCTTCATCTTTTCTATCTTACAATCCCCTGGACCCCTTTGACCATCAATTTTTTATCCAAACAAACACTAAAATGATGCTCTAAAACTCTATCTCTCTCTCTCTCTCAAAACTCCATTCTCTCTCTCAATACTCTATCTTATTGCCCCATTCTCTCTCTTCAACTCGCTCCTCATAACAAAGCACATGCCCATCTCAAATTCCACCCCCTTTTCCAGCAACCCAATCACCAAAAAACTAAACCAACTGCAGCAAATTAGGATAAAATTATGCAATATGACTATATTTGAATGATAAGAAAGAACAAAAAAAATTCATCAAAATAGAGAGAAAAAAACGATAGATTATAAACGAAAGAAACAGTCAAGTTAGAGAGAGGGTAGGTTATAGAAGATCATACCTGTAGAAGAAACGAATCAATCCATCAAACGTTTTATGTCTTAAGGTACTCCTTATCATTCTAATAACTTTTTGAACCAATTTTTGAGAGAGAAGAAACGTGATTTGTGTAATACATTGTTTTGAGCATTTCCGGCTAATCCACTAAGCTTCTATATCTCTTAATTCTTTCATTTAGTTTTTATTTT